ATATCATACAGCAACAGTGCACAAATGATTTGACCCACCAGAGAAGGGGAATGAGATTAAATAAAGCCACCTTTTATTACCCCAGCGCTTAAAATTGTTGCTCCCAAAGGATCCAGAGGGAAACTATCTTGTAGAAAGCCACAAAGGGCTAAAGAAAATATACTCCTTATTGAACGCTACAGGGAAGCATGTGCTGACACACAAGTGTATGCACACACAGTGTCATCCTCCCCCCGCGCCCCCCCCCAGAGGGGATTAACAGTGGTCCTTTGATCTAAGGAGCAGGAAGAAAAATGCTCCTAAAGTTGCCAGCTTTCTCCATTACACTCACCCGTCACCGAGACAGCCAGCAGCCCCACGGAGAGCAGCAGCACCCGGCTCCAGGAGCTCACTTCCACCGTCATCACAGCAAACATCCCCAATTTTCCCCAGTTCCTTCCGAAGCCGCAGCTGCATCCCGGCTTGTCCCATCCCAAGGAAGGTTGCATGTCAAAGGGCAGCAGGAATGGGGCGTGCTGGGGGTTGGTTGTTGTTGTTGGGTTTTCCCCCCTTTTTCTTCCCCTTTGCGATTGGGATAGTCCTCGGCTCGGCTGGATGAAGAGAAGAGAGGAAAGAGGGGGGGAAAAAAGCAGGTCAGGCTTGTGATTATTTTTTTTTTTAATTTTTTCAGCCCAGGAAAAAAAAAAAATCCCACCGCATGGAAGGCTCTGAGCTTCTGCAGCTGGAATGAACCAAGTGTGGCAGCAGCTCGGGGAGAGGAGAGGCAAGGAAAGGAGAGGAGGGCTGGCTCGTCCCTCCCGGTGCCTGTCTCAGAGCCAGCTCCTCGGCATTAGCAGCGCACAGTCCCCAGGGATTTATACTTTTTTATTAGCCAGTTGATTAATCGTTCCCATATCTTTGCTCTTCGCTAAATGCTGGGGAGGGGAGAGGGCAGGGGTGTCGTGGCGGGGGGCTGCTGGGCAGCCACCGAATCCATCTGCCTCCGCTCTGCTTCCCCAAACCCAGCGCAGTCCTCCCACCAGCACCCGCCCCACCAGCACCAACAAATTATGCCTCAGCCCTGTATTTGTTTTTAAACGCACACTACAGGTTTCTCATATAGGAAGAAGTCCCACAGCCCCCCATTTTGCACAGAGGAAAGCATCGGATGCATATGTACCCCCCCGGGCAGCATCACGGCTAGGAAGACATCTGCCAGAGCGATGCAGCCCCCCCCTCACCCGACCGACACAAATTTTGTGATGAAGCAAATTTTGTTACAAACACAAGAGAGATCACAAGAGAGCCAGCTCCCCCCCCCTCCTCCCCTCCCCAAGTCTGCGTCTTGTCCTCGCAGCACGGATCCCAGCAACAGAGCGGTACCCGGCACTGGGAGGACTGGTTCAGGAGGAGAAGGTATGCTGGGGGTGGGAAAGGCTGTGCCTCCCCCCACCAACACCAAGCCTACAGTCGTGCCTGCCTGTAACTGCTGCTGCCCCTTCACGGGGCTGCCAAAAGGGGTAATTTCTCCTCCACCATCACCCCTCCGCCCTCTCCCCGCTTTATTTTTTTAACATTTATTAGTACATTCATCCCTGGGGCTGCATGCAAGATGGGGAAAAAATGCAGTCCGTTAAAACCATATTCAGGAACTTAATTATCTTGGTAACGATGCTCAGATCTACGGACAAGAAAAATAACTCGAACGTGACACCGAAGCTTAAAGAAAAGGCATCCTCAAATATCCTCCCCCCTTCCCGGCAAGAACCTCCTTCGATGTTTCCCAGCCCAGGAGAGGGACCAGACCCAGACCCCCCCTCTCCAGCCCTACCCCCCCGGGACACGGACCCCCCCCACCTCTGTAAACAGCTTGATGATATTGACACAAATTTTGTGATGAAGCAAATTTTGTTACAAACACAAGAGAGATCACAAGAGAGCCAGCTCCCCCCCCCTCCTCCCCTCCCCAAGTCTGCGTCTTGTCCTCGCAGCACGGATCCCAGCAACAGAGCGGTACCCGGCACTGGGAGGACTGGTTCAGGAGGAGAAGGTATGCTGGGGGTGGGAAAGGCTGTGCCTCCCCCCACCAACACCAAGCCTACAGTCGTGCCTGCCTGTAACTGCTGCTGCCCCTTCACGGGGCTGCCAAAAGGGGTAATTTCTCCTCCACCATCACCCCTCCGCCCTCTCCCCGCTTTATTTTTTTAACATTTATTAGTACATTCATCCCTGGGGCTGCATGCGAGATGGGGAAAAAATTCAGTCCGTTAAAACCATATTCAGGAACTTAATTATCTTGGTAACGATGCTCAGATCTACGGACAAGAAAAATAACTCGAACGTGACACTGAAGCTTAAAGAAAAGGCATCCTCAAATATCCTCCCCCCTTCCCGGCAAGAACCTCCTTCGATGTTTCCCAGCCCAGGAGAGGGACCAGACCCAGACCCCCCCTCTCCAGCCCTACCCCCCCGGGACACAGAGCCAGACGGTGGTGGGGTCCCAGCACCCGGGGCTGGAGGGGGCCAGGACCGACCCCCCCCTCCATCCCAGCACCCCTGGCTCCCCCAGCCCGGGGGTGGGGGGGGGCTCAACTCGCCACCCATCCCCCTGCCTCAGCGCTTTGCATTTGCTGCAGTTTCTTGCTGCAAAACCCCCTTCTTCAGTCTTGTTCCGGTTGCCTTGAATGAGCTTATTTGACAGCTAAAAAACAAATTATATCGAGGGCTTGCAAATCTGTCCCTCCACCCTCAAATCAATCCCCTTTCTCACTCCCCTTCCCTGTGTCCCCTCTGCATTTCAATCCTTCCACTGCCTACACTGGGAGCCGATGCCAAGAGCCAAGGCAACCAGGGCTGTTACATGAAAGAGTTGCTTTATGTCTGTTTAAACTGCAGTGTCCTATTCAAATAGACCTTATTGTTCAAAGGCACGGATCCAAACAGAAAAGGATGAGAGAACAGGGTACCACGCTTCACAGCTCCATACATTGGGCTCCCCTCACACAGCTATTCACCCCAAAATCCCCCCCTACGCCCCAAAATCGCGTTCAGCCGAAGATGTGACTTGGTTGCTGCACAGGGTACAGGCTGAGCCAAAGTCAGCCAGCCCTGCAAGGAACAATCCACAGGCATAATACAGGCATTGAGGAGACACAATCCCACTTTATTCCAGGGTTAATAAAATCATATCTATGGCAAATCAAGGGGTTCCTCCCGAGGAAGTTTCCTTCTCAAGATCACTAAGGCTTCGGGTTTAACTCCCTCCTAAAAAAATACTGCGTTTATTTGCTCAGTGGACAAGACTGAATAGAGGACACAACATCCCTGCAATCACCAACTCCTTGGATTACAACCCATCTGTAGGAGGGAGGCGTTTGCGGGTTGTGGTGACCAGCCCATTTCTAACCCCCTTCTGCTCACTGTGCCTCTCACCTTGCAAAATTCCCTCTGCTCTGAGCAAAATAATCCTGTCTCCAGTGCGAGCCCCAGCGGGAGCCCAGCTCCGCACTGCCACCCGCAGCCACCACCCAGCCTGCCAGCCCTGCTGCCTTCCACGCTCCCTGCAGATATTTACCTGGCTCTTCTGTATGCCATTTATCACACAGTACCTCACCCTGTTCACAGTACCTCTGATCTGTTCTGTGATTCCTCAAAATAAATATTTCGGCAACATCCCCGAGTTCCAGTTTAATCCATGGAGCTGGGAGCAACGCGCAGGTATGAACCGAGCCCTCGCAACAGCTTCTGACACTGATAAAGATCAAGGACTTATTAAACAGAGCGAGTGCCAAAACCTCTTCTTCCCTCTAGTTTTGACACAAAGCCACATGCATAAGGCTCTTCTCTTTCTCTCTCTCCCCGTCTCCCACGTGCATCCTGCTCCAAGGATGCAGAAGAGCACCCTGGCACAGAAACACAACCCCGAGACATTCACACCAGGAGCATGATCACGTTCCCTAAAATTTTAAGTACCACAAACAGTAATTTGGTTGGGCGGAAATAACCCAAAACATCTTACTAAACCGCCACACACTTATTTATTCTCTCTTAACCATGTATTATCATTATTGGGGGGAAAAAAGCATTTATCTGCTCATAACCAGAGATTAGCTATGAATAATATCTCTATTAGCAAGAAGCTGCAGTCACTATTTAATTCACAAGACAGGAGAGCCCAGTTCTGGATTATCTGAAAGGAGATAAGTACAGAGCCGAGATCGCAGTGTACAGTGTAATGATCTTGGGAGCAAAGAATTCAATACACAGCTGTTGCATCTGAAGGTATGCACAGATCTTTCAGATTAAAAAAAAACAAACCACAAACACCTTTGCCTTCTATTTTCTTATCTAGAACAAAATTTATAGCCCAGCACCCAAAATGTCACAGAGGGTTTTGAAAAGACACGGCACCCAAAGCAAAATCCTGTAGCTCTGATGCTGAAAAATACACAAGCTCCAAAACTGGGAAAAAGTTCTTTTTCCGTGCAGTTTCAGGGACACAAACCGCTGGAGCTGGGGTGAAATGTGTTACTAGATGGGTCTCAGAGGGATAATAGTGCTCGTCATCTTTGGGCTGTAGGACAATAAGAGTAAGTGCTAAAGCAGGAGCATCCCTTCTGTCTGCACCGCTTCCCTCACCCAAGGGCTCTGCTCTTCCATCTCGTGTCAGTGGGAGGATGAGGAATTGAGGGCAAGAGAAGGGAAAAGGACCAGAGGGACAGTCCTCTGTGCGCTCCATGGGGCTTCACCACCCACAGGCACACGAGGAGCTCAGGTACAGGGAGGGAGGGACAAGTGAATACTGAAGACTGAAGTCTATAATTTAGAGATTTATGGTGGAGAAGACTCTCAGCTCCATGAGAGGACACAGCGCTGCCATTTCCACTCCTGCTGCTGGAAGCCCAGTGGACATTTCCAGCTGTTGCCCTTCCCACCAGCTGCCAGGCCCTGGGGTTCCGTGGTTGCCACGACTCTTTGCCAACACAAACCACCTCTTCAAAAAGACCGTTAGCAAACACGAAGAGGCTGGAGGATGCTGGCTGGAAGGAACAGGTTTTCAGCTCCAACAGTAACATCCGAAGGTCCGTTCCCACTGGGACCTTTCCCTCGGTACATCTGGATCCACAGCAACACTCCCCAGGACAGCCTGGACGAGGTCTGCCATGAGATCTGGAAACGTGTTCAACAACTCTCTGGGGAGCTGCAGCCCCCCTCGCTGGTGCCACTGCTGCCCCACGGGCTCTGCCCACCCCCACCAGGGACCCCGCGGAGGGACAACGTCACCTACAGCATGTGAGTGATCCCTCAGCATCGCCCAAGCCCTAGGGAAAGAGGGAGCTGCTTTCCTTCTTACGCCTTTCCAAACTTGACTTTTATAGCCTGTAAACAAAAGCCTGGGGCACATGGATGGCTGGCTGACACCCTCCTACGGAAGCAAATTATTCCCACTTTTTTTCCACTATAGCCAGTTTCCTTTGGGGAAAAAGTGTGTCCCGTGAAATCCGACTACTTCAAATTCTGAAGCACCATAAGCAGCTGCTCCATTCGCTTCCCCACAACATTTAGAGAAAAACAGCCACACGCATCAAAATATTTACAGGAAGAAGTGAAAGCAGCATTCAAAGAAGCAAAATCGAAAATTAAAGTGTTATAAGGAAGCTACTGTAAACAGCTGATCTTTACAAAGAAAAGCTGAATTTAGCACAGAAAAATTTATGCCAAATCATGTTTCACAAGATAAATAATGGTAAGAGAGGGAAGCATGCTCTTGAGATTAATAGGATAATATTTACTGTATGCTCCCAAAACAGAAAAAGTGAAATTTATAAATCCAGCTAGAAATCAGCAAGCATTAGCACATGTCCAGTTCTTAAAGTCCAAACAAAACATCATGCAAACGTGGCCTATCTTGTTTGGTGCTTGAAAGAGTGTAAACAGTTATTTCATCTTTAAAAACAATAACTTCACAGATGAGGAAATAAATAATTTTTCAGATGAAGATGTGGAGGCACAGAAGGGGAAGTACCTAACGCTATGTCAGGCAGAAACCTAGGAACTACATCTTGAGTCACGGCTCCTTTTCTTTCTCCTCCGTATCCTGAATAAGCCAAAAACTTAGGAGTCTCCAGAATAATTGCAGGAAGAGGGAAACCAGGTAAATCAAGAATAAGCAGTGAAGCCCACAGAGTTGCCTATAGCAGTAGGTTAAATTATACAGCTGAAATATCTTTACAATTAGTACATGCTCAGTAGCCACGTATTTTAGTCCTGCCACTTGCTAAGAAGTCTTAGGAAAGAAGGCATTACACAAACCGGCAAAGAACTGAGCTGCTAACAATCTTAATTGTATTCTTTAATAACACATTTTACTCTTAAAGGAGTACAGATCTGGTCTTTAGCAGCAAGCTCACTGCAGCAGGGCCAGCCTGACCACCAGGACTTCCAGCCCAGGCAGCCCGTGGTGACCCTGAAGCCAGTGCAACTGGGCAGAGAGAGCAGATCTAAATAGTCTTCATTTTGTTGCTTTACTTGGGCAACTCATCCGGCCATTTCTTTTAGCAACATTCTCCTGTAATTAGCCAGAAGGCTCTTCAGGACAGAAAAACCTCTGCACATACACACTCATACAGCAGAGCACGTTGATCATGAGTTGCTCCAAGACCCCCAAGTCATTGACTGTTCTAACAGCAGCCAAACCCAAGTTCTAAAACCAAATTACTGTTCAGAGCTCAATGAGCTGCTTTAAAGTGGAAGCGATTCAAGTGAGACAGCCCTAGGTCAGGTTTCCACCTCTGAGGTAGAAGCTCCCCTATCCTACCTTAGCCACCCCTGTTACTCCTGAAAGACTTAGAGAAAGACAGATTAAGAAAAATCTTTCAGTATATACCACCTGCCAATAAAGGTGTTACCCAATTCATCACCTGCAATAGCATCAGCGCCCAAAGATTATACCAGGACATGCTGCATTCACATCCTCAGATTCAAACACAGGACTCCTGTAGCATAAGGTGTAAGTCCAAGAGAGACAAGAACCTCAGTTGTCACCTCAACTCTAGGTCTTTCCAACTACAGTCAGGGCACAAATTCCAACAGGTTGTGCAAAGCAGTAAGAGGCGACCCGAAGAATATATGATTTGAGTAGGAAGACCAAGATTTGAGTAGGAAGTTGCAGAATCAGGGCTGCAGCCTGCGAAGCCATCAGAGACCAGAATCCCACGGAAAGATGGGGTGAAAAGATGTATGAAATCAGCTGTACTCAGAAACAGCCCAACAACATTCTATTTTCATATGCACAGTATAAATCTGTTGAGGTTTTTGTTAAAGAGATTATCTATGTTCTTTAAAAATAGGGGGGAAGCAGCATTCTACTAATTATAGTGATTCTATGATTAGAGATAATTAGATACATTTACAATTTAGAATTTTGTAATTTTAGCTGTTTATGAACCATATATGTATCTATATTGCATGTGCACACAGCATCAGTCTTCCCCTCAAGCTAAGAAGAGTAAATTGATAATACATTTAATTATTGAACATACTTGGACGTGAAAGAGCAAACTGGAATTTAAATCGGTGTTTTGAGTAGGTAACCACATAGGCACTAATTGGTATTTTGAGCAGGTAACCATTATCGGCACTTAGGTGTGCCTTAAAAGAACACAAAATTGTTCAGCTTTGACAGCAACCCCACGGTAAGGTCCCAGAGGGCTTCAGGAGATATAGAGGTGCTTTGTGATGCACCCTAATGATTAAACCATCCGAGAGTCTCATCTCCCTGTAGGAAAGATGGTTAATGAGCTACAAATACTGCACCACCCAGCCCTGTTAAAGCCTCACAGGTGATAACTGAATGGTGGTGACAGGTAAGTGCAAGGAAATGCAGGCCCTTTGAGAACAAAGAATCATCTTGTTTGACACAAAACTTACATTTGCTTTACAATCACAATCTATTTCGACACACAGATATTTTTAAGCATATATTCTACAATCACTCTTTGCACATCTATAATGTTGCCATCCAACTCCGCTTCAGTTATTCTTGAATAGATACATTAACTAAGATTTTTTTCCCCTTTCATGTGGTTCTTTGGAAAAGAATAGCGTCAAAGACAAAATTTTATTCTTGTTAATAAGGAATACTTGAGTCTTACATAGAACACTAATGAGAGAGAAATTCAAGGTTTAGGAGCAGTCAAGAAAAGTAGCTCAATTTTAAGTCAAACCTCCTTTAACAGCGGCCATATTCCACTTTCTTACAGCAACCCCTTGCTAGATGAACCAGCGGGACTCCAAAGTATATACAGAGAGATGCTTGGGAACAGGGAGAGGGAGATGAAGTTAAGAGCTCTCTGCGACGCCCAGCTCTCTGCCAAATCCGTTATCACCAGCCTCCTGTCTTCAGCAAAACCCCACCGGAATCCCAAGGGGCTGGGGGATGGCAGTGTGTCGGGCCCTCGCAGCACGGAGGGGAGCAAGGCAGAGGTGCCTTTTCTCCCAAAATACCCCGACCCTGCCAAAGGCTCAGGCAATCAGGGACCAGCAGAGGAAACAAAAGCAGGGAAGGAGCTCGTAAAGAACAGCACCTTCAGCTCTGCCAAGACCACTACAGCTGGGCCACCGAGAACAGCAGCAGAAAGTCCAGCCATGGAAAAGAAGCAGCAGGTCCCACCATTTGCTGAGATTCATACCAAAACGGATTCTGACGTGGCCACAAAGAATCCAGGTACGGAGCCGGGCATGGTCCTTCAACACCAGCTGGGAGTCGTGGAAAAGCTAAGATGTAAAACAGAAGCTGCTGAAAAGCAGATGGCAGGAGCTGGTCAGGCATCACTGCACCATTTCCTTCGTGGTGATGTCCTTTCCTTATGTACAAGACTGAAAACTCCTAAAACAACCTTTTCTTTTCAAGAATTCTCATTTTCTACTAGGATGTCGGGATCTCTCTCTCCTCTAGCACCCATCCAATGTCCTTTTCACGTGTTGGAGTAGAGTAGATATAGGAAGGTCATGACCATAGAGATTTATGTATTTGGTCAGTATTTTCTACAAGTGAATTTTTTGGGGTTTGGGTGGTTTTCGTTTGTGGGTTTTTTTGGTAATGTCATGGTTTTGGGGTTCCCATTGCAAAGCATATAAGAGAACCCAATTTCCACTGAGTATTGATAACTACATTCTTTGAAGCATCTTGGAACATACACAAACAATGGTGCGTGTCCAGTTCTATGGTTTAAGCTTCTGGACTAGATTTATCACTCTGGAGCCTTAAAACACAATCAACTTATTCTCTGTTGTAATATCCTTATCTCAGAGAGTTTTGAACTCTGGGCAAAGGTTCTTGTTCTATTCTTACAATTTCATTCGTTGTTATGGCTCAGGCAATTAGCTTTATCCCAGGTCCCGTGGGTCAGAGTTTAATGGCCCTACAAGTGAATCTGAACTGCTAATTGCTGAGTTTGGGTCGCCGTGTGTGTTGCACAACTACAGCCTACAAAAGTAACAGATATCTTAAAACAGATTTTGCTTACAGGCAAAGCATGTCCTCTTAATTGCAAATGTTCCACAAATTAATGAAGAGAATGCATGTTTATTAATATCTTTAACCTTGTTTTGTTTTACAGTAACTACTGCAACACCGGATAAAAAAATTGTTAAATACAATGCATGTGCTTCAGGCTTTTCTACCACTTCAATGACCACAGCATTAAACCAGCCCGTGTGGCAGAGTCTCAGCTTCCCTCCCTTTTCCGTCTTTCCCAACCACTCAAACTTTCCACACTTTCAGGTAATGTAACAGACCCACATTTTGGGCATAACACTCTCCTAAAAAGCTTACCCTAATTAATGGACCAACTCAGACTGCTTTAAAAATCATGCCCTACCTGTGCTTAACAGGGCCCCTACCACCAGAGAGCAAGGATGCCGTACCAGCAAGCTCCGTACCCCTCCTTTGGATGCTATTTAAGACAGGTGCGTTTAAATGCTTATGAATATGCTTTAATTTGCAGAACACAGATGCTAAGCATAATAGATTAGTCAGAGCCATTTGTCATGTGCCCAGATTGACATTGGTGCCATCGCAAAAAACAGATTTAGGGACAAGATGCTGAAGGGGTATGAATTAATACCGTTTGCTGGAGCACCGTGTGTCCAGATAGCTCCAGAGGTGGCCTTGAGCCTCCCACTGAAAACACTCACTGCTCACGCTCTGGTTTTGTAGAGAATTGGGAGAGACCACTCTGTGTGTCTGAAAAAATACTTTTGACAAGTTGTTTCCACATATGGAGTCACTGCCTTGTCAGAATTCCCACCCCACCACTTTTTTTTTTTTAGTTTGGTTGTGGTTTTTTTGTTTTGTTCTTTTGTTTGTTTGTTTTCTTGGGGTTTTTTTTTTTTTTTTTAAATATATGCTATTTCTTTTCCCTCCCCAGGTAGCTCCATACAGCCCACAGCAGATTTTCCAGCCACCTTACGCTCCGATGTTGAACTACATCCCTCTGGTCCAGCCCGGTTATCCCTACCAGCAGAGAACCCCACCAACACCATCCAGCACCATCCCACACCTGTCCCCGATGGCAGGCGATGGCATCCAGTATCCCTTCTCTCCTTCCTACGGGTACGGCCACGCGGATTTGCTATTTTTTCACTACTTTAGGGAGAGTTTTTTAGTTGCTGCAAACCTGCATAAAGCTAAATATTTAATTGGCAACTGGGTTTCCCGGTTACATTCTCACCAAATTCCAAATCTGAACAAAAGACAAGATTTACTAGAAGGTCTAAATTCTAAAATATTTTTGATACAAAACCAGAGTAATTAGTTCTGGGTAAATGAAGCTGAAACATTGCTTTATAGGAGAAGCCACCTACAACTTCCAATAAATATTATGGATAAGAAGTATAAACACTTTAACAAAAAGGAAATGCTTCAACAGGATGGAAACCAAAATATTTTGACACTGTCAGAATGAAATTAAAGGACTCATTTTGATACTTTTCTGTAAAAACTGAAGTTAAGATCAACATATTCCAAGGGTCTGATAAAATAATCTCCAGAGATTCGAGTTCTATGTATCATCTTCTGTGAAATGCTTATGGGATAGACAGGAATAGAACATACTTCCCCCCTAGATCACCTTCCCAGAAACCATCTTAACACATTCAAACTAAAAGCAGATAAATGCTTCTAAAAGCTCTGTTATTACAAAGAAAATAAAGTAATCTGGAAGTTAGATGTAATCTCCTGGAGCTTCACTAAATTTCATTTTCTGTTTTAGGTTTAATTCTACACCTGGAGGAACTGTGACGATTAACCTCAACTACTTTTCCAGCGAGAACCATGTAAAATTTTAAGCAAACCCACTTTTTCCTATCCTAGTATTCAGAGAAAAACCTGCTATGCTATAAGTCCTAGGGTCCTATAAGGACTTCATGTTTCCCCCAAAATGAATGTTTCCATCTAGAACAATCCCTATGACTTACAGGGGAAGGAACAGCTGCCTGACAATTCATTTGAGACAATTTTTTTTAGGACAACAATAAGGGCCTTTTTTGGTTTGGAAGAGGGAAAGATAATAAAAATATTTTATTTATGACGAGTGCCTGAGCTGCTTAGTATCGAGTGTTGGAGCAATAAAGACGGTTGACAGAAAACAGTTTTGACCACAAATTTCAGAGGTAGTAAATTCAGGTGTATATTCCAAGTGAGATCAACACAGATACCTTCAATAGCTGGGTGATACAGCTCCATGCATGACAAATTCCTGTCTTATTACCTTAAACTTGAATGCTAATCCAGATGATAATCTGACTTTTAAAGACAACGAAGCCATAAAGCTTGTATGGAGAATCCCTTTTAACTATATTTGGGTCATAATTCAAGCAAGAGATGGAGCATCCTTCCATTCACTGAGCTTCAGACTTGGCCCCAGATACACAAAAAACAGATTTTTTTTTTTTCTCCTTCTCTCCTCCCACTAAAAAAAACTAATCATGCAACTAAAAAATTTGGCTGTTCCTTCTCCCCTTTAATCCTGCTTAATGTAAACAGTACAGCTTAGTTGTGTAGACGTAGGTGAAGCTAGTACAGAATTCACACAGAGTATGTTTACTCTTGTAAGGTTGATAAACAATCTTACAGTGAACCTTCAGGTGACATTTTGCACATTATAACTAGTTTACTCCTCACTGTTCCTCTTTCCACACTGCATCAACATCTATTTTGAGTCACCCAGATGGCTGAGGTGATCTAGGACAATTTATAATAAGAAACTCATGCTTTGGCAAGATGTGCCCACCAGCCCTTTTTTCTCCACTTATTGCTGTAGGCCAGCATTTCAACTAAGATAAATTAGAAAAGCGATTAGGAACCTCTAGTGTTTGCACAAAGCATCAGCCTTCTTCACTCTCCTTGCCTTGTGGGCAAGGTGACAGGTTGATAACGTAACACAACGTGAAAGACTGTTCCAAGTACACCAAGGCAGCCAGGAGAAACTGAACCCAAAGCCCACATATTGCTTACAAACTCCCACCAGCATCCCCAACCAGCATCTCAGAGTTCCACTGCATTTCATGTCTGAAAAGAGCAGAAGAGAGGGGACACTCGTATTGAGACCACCCATGTCATTTCACCAACACTTGATTGGTTAGTGACAAGTGACCTGAACCAGATATATCCCTGTTTTACCACAGGTCAGGCTAGAAGTCAGGCACCTGAAGATTAGCCAAGAAGAAGAAATGAGCTACCAAGGGGTCCCGTGAGGAATGAGGCCAGAGGATCATTAAGGCACAAGTGATGCAAACCCCAGCTGTACCCCTCAGTCAGTAACACTAACACACCAAGGCAGGATTGTGTGGGTTTTCTACCCAAAATGATTGCTATTACATTTAGCACAGGATCAAAGATACCTAATGAAGACGCTTATCAATATTTTTTCCTTTCTTCAACACGTGGCTGTGGGACCCATATAAACCTACGGAAATATCCCACTTCTCAGGAGCTTTTTTTGCTCATACTTGAAAATCCACGGTTCCAGCCCTTCACAACACACTTCTCCCAAACCTCTATAATAGGTAAGAAAAGGAAGTTATCCCCATTTTACAAATAAAAAGCTGAATTCTGGCAAATGAGAGCTTAAAGATTTCATCCATCCAGTTTAAGTTAACAAATTCTCAGGAACACTGACCAGTATCTGGAAGGCACAAAATTCGCATACACTTTTCCTCTAGCTTGACCCTTTTTGCAACTCCCTCCAAGTGCGTCCCATTAGTACCTGATGGCACACACAGCTCCCTGGCCAAATCCTTCTTTAATAAGTAGGTCCTGAGTTTTCCTGGGCTCTCTTGCAACACACTCAATTACTGGAATACGCTCCTCTTATGCCTGTTACAGGCTTCCTTTCAGAAAGAATTTTACAGAACGAAATCATTGCTATGTTTTTCAAAACCTAAACTTGGATCAGAATTTGCTTTGGCTAAAGTCAGATATGCTTTGCCCCAGTAAATTCCCATTTTCTTTAAGTAGAATAGAAACCTGGATTTTTCTGCTATTAAATCCACTGGCTGTTTTTCTCCAATATTCCTAATGCAATTAGCATAATAAGATAAAGGAATCATCAAGTCCTTTTCCATTTTTCTTCCTTTATAAAAGGACTGATGACAAACTGGGAATCAGAATCTGTATTGAATTACATTTGCCACAAAAGAGTTCATTAAGTAATAGTACGTAATAAAAATCGTCTGTCAACTTGAAGGATAGACCAAATCCACTTAACGAAACAGCTGGTTATTTTCTAGAGCACTCTATAGCTCATAAACGGTCAATATGAGCAAGGAGAGAGACAGACAAAGGGAAGTAAGGAACAGCTCAGATATTAGCATCCTAAGCCACAGTGTCAAGGCTCCTGTCTCCACTCAGCAGAGCACGCCTGTAGGTAAGGCTTTGCCCATACATTTCCCCATCGTTAGAGTGATGGCAAGAGCTCTTTTCACCAGGAAAAGGATTTCAAGGCTAAGGGCTTGACAAACCATGAGATGATTCAACAGCTGGAGCATCATCAGAGCACCTGAATTTCCATCCCACTCCAACATGTCAGATGGTCCATGATGACAGTGGGAGTGGGGTCACGTTCCCTGCCCCACGCACCCAACTGAACCTGCACCACCACGTCCTCACGGCTCCCAGCTCCCCAGCAGGAAACTCCAATGGAAAGGTGCTTCTGGCTTGCAAAGTTGGTGCTCCCAGGAGCAGATCCGGGAAGAGGAAACATCAGGATCAGTGCTAGTCCTTTTGCTCTAAACAAGCCATACTGGCTCCTGACAGAAATCACATCTCCCTTTCTGCATTCAGCTCACTCACTGAATAATCGCCATCCATACAAACTGTCTGCACTGCTTTGGCTCCAGGGATTTGTTCCGAGATCCTTGAAGTCCCATAACATGCCACTTATGGTGAGAGTACGACAGGTACCACTCAGTGCCACAGAGACAGCTTGTTGGGAATAAAGGTCACCTGTGACAGGGCATCGCTGTGAACCTCCGCGCCCTTCCTGCATGTATTTAACACAACAGTCTCAGAAGAGCGACCCTTCTTAAAAAAGGGTCACTTTCATTTTAATCTTGTTGACTCTTCACCATTTTGGGATTTATTACCGATTCTATGATTACAAGACACATTCTTAGTGGTCCTATTCTTCCACAAAAGTTTTAGCACATTTATTTCGTGCTTTAATGAAGTCTCAGAAGACACGGACGCAGAAGCCCTATTGTTGCCTATAGTTGACTGCACACTAGATCCTTCTCAGGCAATCAACCAACCACAACTAAAACCAAAACTAGTTATGAATGCTTAAAATAACTCGTTATGCTGTCCTGTTCTGGAGAGTCTCACATCGCACCGCAGGATGGAAACTCTGAGCCTGCCTGGTGGTGGTGATGGTGGAACCAGCCCGGCCATACCTCTGATCCAGGCAGAACGACAGAGCTGCACAAAATCTGAAAGTGCAACAGGGATGGACATGCCACCACCACACCAACCGCCCACCTGGGTTATTAGCAGGACAAAATGTTCTCAAATAGTCTAAGCTTACCTCACTTCCTCTAAAAAAAGAAAAATCAAGATTCTGTTCTTGTTAAGGTTCTATTGATCCCAATTCCTTACAGACGGGATAACAGTGAAAAATGGACACTTTGTACCAGGGGCTGTAAAAAGTTCTTGTCTATCTCCCACTGTTACTATATATAATGATAGCAAAACAAAATTCACCTCTTGTCCTACGTCATCATTGTTCACTGTAAAGGAGGAAGCAATCTGGGCTTGCAATTTACAATAGCTTACAAAAACACCTCTGTATCCTTAAAGTGTTTGTTTACACATACAATAACTGACATGGATCTTTTTGTACGCAAAACCACATCAGCATTATCAGGTTCTCCAGCCCCACTGTGTTTGTTACCTGCCAGAGGGGACCAGGAGCCATTGAGTCACTGCCTTTAGACACAACAGTTCTCCCCTTTTCAACTACCCCCTGTACTGCCCTGCCAACCAGATCTGCAGACCTCCTCACCGAGTACCATGTCCTGCTGAACATCTCCCCTCTCCCAGGTAAAAATCCTCCCCTTCAGAATAAACTGGAGGACGGAACAGACATCTGCAGGCGCTGCAGACCCCCGGAGACAGAACCACCTCCATCTGCAGCGTTTCTCTCCCTTCTCCTCTCAAAGTCTCACACAGTTTGTGTTGCTGCTACTGCAGTTTTTCCAGAGTTGTTCAGTCCAGCTTCCCAAAGCAAACTTTCACAAAATTAGCTTGCATGGTTCCCAAGTCCATTACGCTTAGGATAATGTGGGGAGGGGGGACTGATTGAATAGCTATTAATCAAAGGATGGGCTTTATTCTTGTGATGTCATAAACTGCAGAAACAGAGCTCAAGCAGTTTATTAAATTACAGGAATGCCAAGAAAAATAGATAGCTTTAATAACACATTTTTGCCTATCTGTTATATTTTACATGTAGCTTGCAGAAGAGAATTAAAAAGTTTTCTACCATATAAAATTGCCATTTAAAAGGGGGAAAAAAACCCCAACAAAACAGATTCTGTCACTGATAGAGAATACAATTATTCTAGGCTAAAAAGTTCATTCTTTTGCTAACGTGAGATTACTGTAGTTCAGAGTATATGGGAGAGGGGATCCTTCTAAGATAAAAAATGGCCTCTGAGCTGAAAAGCACAAGTGCATGAGCCAAGATGAACAGCAAACACAGAGAGGTCTCAAACAGACAGGTCCGTCTGAGGGAGAGAGCTCTCTGGCTGGTATCATCAGCCTCACAGGCTGCACCCCCGGTGATACCCAAGTCCAGTGGATGCTCCTAGAGCAACGGAGAACCTGGCTGTACATGGATTGCAGGAGCAAGTCACAGGTCAGCAGAGGTGTCTAAAAGAGGAAAGGACTTGGCCAGAAACCTCTGCTCTTCACCAAGATCCAGCCCAAAAACTAGGAGATGTGTTATTGGCGTCTCCACAGCCAGACA